CTGTAGGTGACCCTGCTTCGGCAGGAGGGTTGGACTAGATGACCCACAGAGGTCCCTTCCAACCCCTACCATTCTGTGATTCTGTGTGATTCTGTGATACATTTAAACTTACATAGCTCTGCAGAATTTAAGAATTTTAGGAGACACTTTGGGTGGGGGGAACTGGGTTTCTGGTTTGTAGTTGCAGTTTGGACTGGGTTTTCATTTTTTTCATAAGTGGATGTTTCTGTTGTTGTTTTTAGGCCACTGCATCTCTGTTCAGGTGATTTTATTCTTTTCCAAGTGCTATCAAAAAAAAGATACAAAGAGCAAGTCCCTGAACCAAAGAATAAATGGATATTTATCCATAAGTATATATGGATAATATATCCATATATACTGCTTCTCTCTCACCATTCTCAGAATCTATCCTGCAAATTCACTGCATAAAAATCATACTTTCCCTGAGATTTTCTAACTTAAATATCTCTAAAGACAAAGCTTCAATATTTAACCCATACAAAAACAATGGATTAAATTATTTGAGCAGTAACAAAGTAAGCTGACTAGCTGTAGTTCTTATTAAAAATACTCTGTATCCATTGAAAAGTTCTTGCTCCAGAACAAAAGAAAGGTGTTTTAGATATTAACTGTACTGCTGCACATCAACTGTTGTTCTACAGCTGCTTGCACAAGTTCCCCACTAGCATGTTCTCCAGGCACAAGAGAGGTGCCACAGTATTACACAGAGCCACCCACTTTGTGCCTTATAAAGCCTGCCCTTCAGGAACGCATGCCGCAACGTAAGAATTGGGAATGAGGCATCTCATGAGTCTTAATCAGCTGCCAGCAACTTAACACATATCCCCTTTTGCCTCTTTGATCATCAGTTTTTCCCATCGATAGGATGGGTATATTGTGAAGGCAAACGAGTAAACATGTGAAACAGGGAAAGATTGCGAGCTGAAAGCCCCTGAAGTCCATCTCTCCTTAGGCATCTTTGGACATCCACAAGTTTCCAGTGCTGTGGGAAGTGGATGCCTGCACTACTTAGTGATGAAGAGTCATCAGCTATTCAGAGAACTGATGCCAGAGGGCGAGACCCACAAGTCAAACCTTTTCGTCTCCTATGTGTGTCTCTGAGTAATACACAGATGGGAGAAAACAGAAAAGCTTTATTACTAGAGCAAAAAGAGTATTGACTCCATTAAGTAAAATACTTCCTGCATTACTTGTTTTAGAACCTTAAGTAGAGCAAAGAGAACATCACTTCCCAAGAAAGCAAAGTTGTCAAAATTACAGAGGTTGTCTCAGCTGTTTTTCCACCAGACATAAGCATATTCCATAAAATTCTGGAAATACCTTTTTTAATTTTCCTTCTCTTTCAAATAGAATAAAAGAATTTACCTTTGATCAAAGACATCCACCAGAAGCAACACCTTTTAAGATAATAAAGGTGTTGCGCTATCCTTTTCATTGGCATTCAGACTACTGATAGGAATTCTTTGGGAAAACAGTTCTCTGCACTACTATGCACTACATATTTCTGACCTTCAATACAAACCTGAGAAAGAAAAATTAATAGAACAGGATTCTCAGCACTAGAGGACAGAATCACACACAGTAACCTTGATGTTACAGAAATTAGCATTCCAGGAACTGGGAAGACTAGACAGAACTGGGCCAAATTAATTTAGTGGCTCCTGTCGTGGAGAGATGCATGTAAAGGACTCCGCAAACACCTGTTCCTCTTTGGGAACAGCACTCATGTTCTTGGAATGACATTAGGATAACATTTGGTGAGAAATCAGTTCTTACTAACCTTACCAATACAACAGAAAACCTACTGAAAGGTGTAAGTCCATTTTAGACTGACAGAACTATTTTTACCGGGCTGTCAACAGCAGGGTAGCAGTATGCCAGGGAGCTCAGGGAACTCTTTCCACAAAACGCTACCAACTGCACAGGAAACAAGATTGGATTTGCTGCACCAAGACCATCCTCCTGCTTGAAATGCAGAAGGACTATGACAGAACCACTTACCTGGAACCTGTGAACCAATTCCAGTGACTGGCTGTCATTCTGGTCTGCTTCAAGGATGACATCTGTCAGTTTATGTATGATCACATCCAAAGGGCCTTGATCTTCAATGGGTTTCGTGAGGTCAAGCTGCAGAAACCAGAGAGAAACCTTTTATTAATATATGGAGGATGTGAGGTTCTTGTCCCCGCCATCGTCCAAGGTGTTGCTGCCACACAGAAGGCATTTACTTCACACGCTGCCTTTATTTTGGTATGTTACCCAAATCCCTGAGAATTCACATTTCACTGAACGTCAGAAAGCTTTACTCAGACATTTATTTCTCAGCAGCGTAGATCTAATTCCATGAAAAAGCAGCGAAGTCGTGGGCAAGCACCCTTCATCCAAACGCCTTCCTGGGCTTCGCCACCCTGAGCCAACACCTCTCTCTTCAGCTCTCTTTCCCAGTACTTGCACCACAGTGCAAAATGAATGAGCCAACAAAGATTATCACCACTAATAAAAGGAACGCCTGCCGTGCCCTTTGCCCTTTGGGATTGCACAAAACAGCACCCAGGACAGTAACACCAGTAACACAAAAGCAACTGACTCAGGATCTTCGCAAATTCATCTCCTGCAGGAACAGCTATTTAGCTGGTAAGGAGGAGTGCAGATCCCAGAGCACTCTCACTAGCAGACCTTGGCATTTAGCTGGCTAGAGGGCAAAGATTTGGGGTGGGGTGTGCAGAAACTATGCTCCAGATAGCATGGGAAGGCACAAAAGTGGTGGTGATGTGTCACAGGGCTTGGTCCCAGGTACCAAGACAGGGTTCAAGGAGCAGAGGAATCACCCGTACTGGAAAATGATTGAGTTAGGGATCTCCTGAGGAAATCTTAATGTAAAGAAGGCTACTGGACCTGATGGGATGCATGTGAGGGTTCTAAGCGAACTGGCCAATGTCATTGTGAGGGCTTAGATTTATCAGGACATAAATCAAAACTGTGGAGATTCCAACTAAATCAGGAAAAAAATCCCACCACAATGACAGTTCGGTTGCAGCACAAAATCTCACAGAGGCTTTAGGATCTCCATCCTTCAAGGTTTTCAAGACCTGACTGGACAAAGCCTTAAGCAACTCAGTCTGAATTTAATGTTGAATCTGCTTTGATCAAGACAATGTATTACAGACCCCTAAGGTCCCTCACAAACTTAGTGATTCCATGAAGCTACTTACCAGATCTGAACATTTGTACAGTGTAAGTACCAGAACTGTCTCATGTTCTAGCCAACACACTGGACTGCCCACAGCACAAAAGCTGCTGCATTATCAAGTGCTGCCCTTCAACCAATTGCGAGATCTACTGGATCAGGGGCAACTTAACCTTGTAAACGTGGAACTGGGAAAATCTTTGAACTGACAGACAGATGTGTGCTCACTAAACTAAAGTTAGTGTCCGATTTTGCAGTTGTATGCACGCTCCTTCTCATTGCTGCTATCTCTTTTATTCAACTCTGGCAGAAAATAGCATTGAGGAGGGCTGGGCACAACAGGCTGCTGATGCTCTGTTTCGATATGATTCGAAGATCCGGTAAGAAAAACCTAACAGTACAATGTATACTGTTAAGCAGGTATTCTTTATTGCGGCGCCGGGCACACGGGGGATTTCTCCTCCAAACGTGCGCGCCAGACACCCTGTTGCTTCAGGTTAAATACAATCACACAGGTAATTATTCATTATATTTCTAGGAACTAATTAGCATATGTAAATATCTTTCACGCATGTCTGTTAGTATCTTTGGGTGGTCTTCGGGGGTCCCAAGATGAAGGCCCATCCTCTTCATCACGCTGTTCACTGATTGACATTTGTTTCTGTGCAAACTCAGTTCTAGCATCACGTATATCATGTCCTTCAGGTTGTTTTGCTCCAGTCTTGTTGCTCTCTTGGTGCCTCCTTATCTCTGTAGCTCAGCGCATTTGCCCTCCCAAGGCTGAGCTGTCTGGAGTAGAGTTATTTAGGAGTCTCTTTTATCCCACAATTATCCCAATTATTTGCTGAGAATCAAGACCACTTTTGTTTCACTTAATTATTTTGTCTAACGACTAAGTGATAGCTTGTGCCCATGTCCTTCCACTACATTCCTTAATGAGAAAACAGGGATTAGTGTAACAGTTATATTGTTAGATCACTATGCACGCAGAAATACAAGTTACAGTACTAAAGACTACTAAAAACTAGAAAATATTAAGGCTTTTTGTTACAGTTTCACATTTCTTACAATCCCCTCTATCAGATAGAAGCCTGGTCTTCCCTGTCTCATTAGCTTGAGTTTTGTCTTAATAAAATTTCCCACCCTACGGAAAGGGCCTTGCTTTGAACTAGGGAGTGCCCTAAGGAAGGTAATGATAAGACAGGATGGCTGGAGCTCAAGGACAAATAAAACTAAACCAGCAGAGATCTAGCAGCCTTACAATAATTTGCTAGTTGTTAACCTAACTGATCCATGTAGCCAAATTGCTTTTCTTGCGTAGGCACTCTTATCTGGGCTAGGCTTACTTGATCAGAATAACTGAAGTTACCTATGGCACAAAAGCAAACTAAAAGACTGCCGATTCTTCCCAAAAGAGACAACCTTCGCTGGCCCGTTGCTATGTGCTCCTACTAACAGTTGCAGGCTGAGGCTCTAGTACTATCTTTGAAGTACTTACGTAGATTCTAGTACAACCGGAACACATATTGTGCGTCTGTTGTCCAAGACGACTAACAGAGGCACTGTTCACAGGTGGGCAGCAGACTCTCTGCATGCAAAGATTATGCCATGGTAAAGACAAACAAGACAGATTTAATGTGAATGATCGGTGATCGGTAAGCTGTGGCTGGGTGAGGCAGTCCACACATTTTTATTCCCACAAGTAGTGCAGCACAAAGGCTAAGGGCAAATTTAAATGTCTGCAAAATCAAGGCAAAATGAAGCAAATTGCAGCTTGGCTAAGGATGTGGCAGGAGATGATCTGCTTCTGCAACCAAGTTCCAGAAAAATCAGCTCATATCCTTAAAAGAAATCTCAGATGACCACACTGCTGTTCCTGAGGTTTTTTCATCTCCCTATCACATCTGGAAGGAAACAGCAAAACAAAGGGTCCATTTAACTGGGTCAGAAAGTTCCCAGTTGCCACGGTACAAAAATGTGAAGTAATCCATTTTCAGGACTTCCAGTTTGAAAAACAGTGAGAAGCAAGTAAGCATTTGAGATTGGTTACCCTTCTATTCTTCCTGCACTTGCAGCTCAATCTGCACAGAAACATTCAGAAAACAAGAAGACAGTCCTCCCTTTCAGCCTTGACCCAAGAACAGAAATAAGCCTTCAAGGCATATCCAGGCATCTTCAGCACAGTGTTTTCCAGAAGCATAAGACATCCGGGCAAGATAACTTCTTCTTAACAGTTATGCCAGCTAAAAGCAACTGGCATATTTTGAGAACAAAACCAAAATGCACCAACTTTGCATGTCGGAAAGTGTTAAAAAGGGTCCCTCTAAGAGCGCTCGGCTTCCCCTTCACCGGGAAAGCAATACTAGAAATGACAGCACGCTAAGGCAGCTCCTCTGGTAGGAAGTTCATGACCACTTCAGCTGGCTCAACGAGGACAACAGGTACTTTTCAACCACACAAATCTTCAAACTTTGATCCAGTATTTTGTGAATTGGACAATTAAATTGTTTGCAAGAATAAGTCCTCTCTGTTCTGGGCCACGCTGCAGAAAGCAAATATTCCTGGGCTATGTGGAATTTGGAAGAGATCCACCTTCCTTTTCAATACCAAGAAGAAACAAAGAAGTGAAAGGAGAAGAAAAAGAAGGAAAAAAAGATTTGAGTTGCAAAAAAGAAGCCGTTTCTAGTAGAGTATCAGACCCTAGTAGAAGTCAGTGAAAGTAGAGTGCAAACTTTCTGATGGCCCTCTGCTGAGACAAACACTGATTCATTGTTTGTCATCAGATGGAATTCAAGGCCTCCTACTTCCCTTCTCTTTCAGCATCTCTCTCTCCAAACAGTCTTTGCATTTGACATGATCACCCAAAGGTTTGTTTTTGCACAGAACTAACACCATAGCAACACAAGTGAGAGAAAAGATTTATCAGCACCAGCTTGAAAAAACATCGAGATATGGCTATGGTGCCCTTTCTTCTGAATTAGGCTATAGCCTACTCTGCTTGCCCTTTTTTATACTAAAAAAACCCCCAGAAACAACCAGGTATTGGGCTCACAGCATTGTCACTTACCACCAAAACTCAGCAAAACTCAGGTGAATGACAGCATGAAAAATGCACACACAAAACGCCAGACACCAGGCATATGCCTTTCCAGGTTTTACAAATCCATATATGGAAGAAAACAACTGCTCGATAAATGCTCTTATCATAGCTGGCTGCAGCTAGCCTGCTCACCTTCTAACAGAAAGAGTTGGAGTTAAAAAGTGGCTGGAGTTAAAAGGTGCTCCAAGCTTAGAAATGTCATAGTCTGCCCCGTAGCCTTTCCAGTGCATCCACTGGAGAGTTAGTGACGGGCATACAGAGCTCCATCTCTGCACTCCTCTCCCCTTCCCCCTTCCTCTGTCCTCCAGAAACACACAGCCAGCGCATTATCCAAATCATTACACAGGAGGGCAAAAAAAGTTTATTTCCATTAAGCACAATTTGTTTAAAGTTTTGGGGTTGTTTTTCTCCAGAATGCTGGCAATCCATCTGTATTGCAGGGACAGGGCGAGCGCCTGGCAGAGTGCCACGGCTCTCCGCTGGTCCCAACTGCAATCCCACACGCATGCATTTCTGAAAGCCGTGTTTAAAAATAAAACTATGTCCAAGTGAAAAAAATCTGGATTCGTTCACTCAGGGAAAAAAAAACCCAAACAACTGCAAATGTTGGATTTAGCAAAAAGAATTACCATTTATCTAAATGATTAAAAATAGGTTTGTATTTTTTGTTTTATTTAGGGTTTCCAGTCCATGCTATAATCAATTGTATTTCAGAATCTGGCTGAGCAGGATTTGTGTTTTTTTAAAAGCTCCTCTTCAGAAATAGTTTTTAGATTATCATTCACATGAAATGACGATTTAATACCAACCTGACCCGTTTGCTGAACTGAAGACAGATCA